AATTTAAAAACATTAGTTAAATCATTTATGTGTAATAAACATGTGTTATCTTTTTTAAAATACTCTTGCTAATTAAGTGTACTAGCTAAAACTATTATTTGATGAAATATTTAATATGTGTAACTACTATAAAAACTATTTTAAAAAAAAATAGATAAGTATGAGAGACAAAATGGATTAGGATTTTATATTTAAAACTAAATTGAAAGTTAAACTAATTTTTATATTAAGTACCGCTGTACCGGTACTATTTTTTTTTTTTTGTTGGGCTATAAATGGAAGTCCACATAGATGGTACTAAATAGCCCAATTCAGTTGGAAAAAAAAAATCTAAAAATGATTATGTATAAAGTCCAATTGAGAAACATCGTAAAAACACTGTAAAAGAATCAAGATGCAAAAAGAAAAACATGGTGAAAAAATTAGGAGGCACCATGAAAGGCATAGGAGTTGAGATTTAGGGCAAAAAATAGTAAATAATCTTCTAATAATAAGTAATATTTTTAAGAACTCCTCACTTTTTTCCCTGGTCTTGTTCTTGACCTGTCCTCAATTTTTTTATCCCGTCCCACCGATACAAGAGAAATTGAACACGCTAGAAGCCACATGGTTTTATATATATATATGGTTGAATTTCCATCGAAATATCAAGGCACGTGCTCAACAGTGAACGCCGACCGGTGGGTTATACTCGCAGCTTTCATTCTTCAAATCTTACACGAAACTCGGCTTCTTGAAAATGCAAAAGTCAGGCTTTTCACAAATACAATGTGACTGGTCGAGTTCATCGATTGACCCCAAACTTAAAAGAGTTCAATTTTTATTGAACCTCTGTGGGCCAATTTGACCTGGGACAACTTGGCAAAGCAAGCCACCAAGATAGGAAAGGAAAAATACAGCCCATTAAAAAACACGTGCATTAAACACCCATAAAACCCTTGTAAAATTTAGGGGGTGTTTGGTAACATAAAAAAATATTTTTTAAAAACATTTTTTTGTAAATCAAAATATTTTTTTTTACATATTTATTTTGTATACCGTAAAAACATTTTTAAAATCATAGTTTGGTTTTCATCTAAACACCTCTTTAAGTATCTACTCTCTATTAATTTTTATGCTACCTTTGGTTCTTCATATAAGACCTCATTTGATTTTTATTTTGGTCCTAATTATAAGATTTTAATCCACTTTGTCTCTTATATTTATATTTTTTTTCAAAGTAGTCCCTCTAATAATGATAGTTTTAGCCAATAAACATGATTAGCAACGATATTTTAAGAAAGACAATACTTATTTATTACAAATAACTAACTTAACTTATTTCTTTAATCTCCTCGAATTAGTCAACTAGTTCTTATAATTATAACCGGAAATAGTATTAAGGATTATAAAAGTAATACATTTATTTATGTTTTGTTTTTGTTTTTTGGACTAGACTTATCCTTAGCATGCTCCATGACTGTAATTGGAGGACTTAAACAAGATTGTGATTAATTTAGACCAAGTCTGATAGGACGGTAAATAGTGATAAAACTTTATGTATTTGACAAGGTTGCTTTTTTATTCATGTATCAAAATCGAGGCATTTAATTAAACTTGTGTAATCTCCTACCAATTAAACTAGTTGCTTGGTCTTTGACCAAAAAAAAAAAAAGTAGTTGCTTGGTGACTGTGGAGTAAGTTTATTGGCGCCGTTGCCTATAAAATCTGTTTAGTGATAATAACATAATTCATGTCTTGGGATTCTAATCAAATAGTGAATGCGAAGATCTCATGACTAAATAGTTTATAAATACTTTCATAAAAATTACTATTCTCTCTAATGTAATATAAGAGACTAAGATGTTGAATTCAGTGATTAATATAAAATCTCAATTTATTCCTTAATATAAGACTCATTTAATTAATTTAATCAGATTAAAAAAGTTAAATAAGTTAGTTAATTACAATAAATATGATTTTTTGTAAAATATTATAATCATCTCTATTAACATCGCTTTTTCTCTCCCATTTAATCATGGTAGTCGTGTAAGTATCAATAGGAATAATTTAAAAAATTTGATAAAGATAAGAAATAGGTCTTACATTTAGAACAAATATCAACTCAACAATTAGATCATATATTAAGCATTAGAGAAATACTTTATATCTCATATTTATTATTTTGTCCCAACTTAATTTTGCTGATATATAAATTGAGATATAATTTAATATTATGCATAAATATCATAGAAAGATTACGTCAGCGGATAGTGAAGCGCGTGAGGTAGGTGTGGATCCTGCTATCGTTCAATTAGCTGAACTAACATTCGAATCAGCCTTCTGGTGCTCTTGTTTGCGTGAGAGCCCTGAGGAGTGACATGGGGCTCTTGCCTTAAAAAAAGGAACTAGAAACTTCTCCCATATGAAGGAGTATATTCTCCATCAAAATTATTATTTACAAGTCCGTCAATTATCTTCAAGGACCGGCCCTTCCCTTTTATAATTAATCTTAAATTTAATTAATGATTTGATTAAGCGTAAAATAAAAATTTGTATAACTCACGCATGAAAATGTTATTTTAATAATTTTATAAACTGTGCTTTCTGAGAAACTGTTCAAGAAAACCTTAATCATAAAACAGTTTTTAATTTCATTAAAAAATAATTACTCATCCGGTCCTTAATATAGAATTTAATTTTTAAGTTAATTTTGTTTCTAAATGTAAGTCTTATTTCTTATATTTATCAATTTTTCCTAAATTACCCCTATGGATACTCCTTCAACTATAATCAAGTAAGTGAGGAGGGGAGGATATTAAGAAAGATGATTATGGTGTTTTAAGAAAAACATGTCATATTTTTTATAATCAGTTAATTTACCTAATTTTTTTAATTTAATCAAATTAGTTAAATAGGTCTTATATTAAAAATTAGAGGAGTATTATTTTTTAAAACGATGCTTAATTCTTACGCAACTCGTTTATTTCATTTTTTCAAGAGCAAACATCTTTTTCGTTCTTGTAACAAAAAATTTTCGCACGAATTGAAAATAACTTGAGTTTTGGACACAACTAAACTAAAATGTCTTTGCCCCCTTCAACCCAACGGCAATCATGGGCCCATGAGATATAAAATGGTCCCGTTTCCTGGCTCCAGTATATTCCGTCCATGTAGGCCGAAATATTGAGGAAGGCCCAAACTAAAGTTCAGCAGTTTGAGAAATGAATATGGAAAAAAATTAAATGTGTTGCTTGCCGAAATTACCCTTAACACACAATCAATGTAAATATTTTTAAAAAATTATAAATTTGGGAGACAAAGGGTATTAAAATCTTATATTTAAGGATAAATCTAACCCAACTAATTCTAATGTTAAAAACAAGAGATGGTAATAATGACAACAACAACCACAATGAGGACGACCTTATTATTATTTGAAATTTTTTCATTTTGTAACAGTAAAATTTTGAAGTACTCAAATACTAGGGGACAATTATGTGTCTGGGGGAGTAGTTGATACGATATAAAATGCAACCACATGAGGGAGTTAGATTGTTATTAGTTTGTTATTAGGGTGTTCATATCATTAATGTAGTCAAGGCTGACATCTTGCCAAAGTTTTTGTAACTTGGTGACATTTGTGCTTTTCTGTGAGTGAGAAATCACAGGCTTAATTTCGTTTGTAATACTCTTTCGATCCTTAATATAGGACTTAATTGTTGAGTTAGTTTTGGTTCTAAATATAAGACCCATTTCTCATGTTTGTCAATTTTCTCTAAATTACCTCTATGGATACTCCCTCAACCATAATTAAGCAGAAGAGGAATAGGGGGTATTAAGAAAGATGATTATGGTATTTTAGGAAAAATGTGTCACATTTTTTATAATTAACTAACTTACCTAACTTTCTTAATCTAATCAAATTAGTTAAATGGGTCTTATACTAAGGATCGGAGGAGTATCAAATTGCAAGTGCCTATCTCTTTAATTGAAAAATGGGGGCTGTCATCCTAGCCATCTTGTTTATAAATGAGAATATTTGTGACATAAGAACTGCTTGCTTAGGGATGTAAAGATTTTAGATTGGATAATCAAGTGAATTGCGGAGAAATGTGATGACTCAAAACGTGTAATTTAAATATGTTTTGAAATTCATTTAATTTTTTTTGAAAATACGTAGAAACATTAAAAAAAAAGGATATACTCCTGTGTTATGTGATATTTGACTCATATATTATATTGAGTATTGATTGATACTATACTCTTTTATATTTTTGCATCTAATAAAATAATTAAAAAAGTTACAACAGAGAATGGAAAAAGAAACGATATTTATCATTTTTACCATGACCCAGGACCTCATTTTTAAAGGATGATAACTCCTTTTATTACAACCAATGCATGTTTGTACAGTATTTATCATATTCATATAATTATAGGGTTAAGGTATAGCAGATAATTTTATTGTTAGAACTGCTTGTTTTCCCCCCTATCAACCAACGGACTGTATATATTCTAATTAAGCTAATTTTTCACCAATGTAATCAAAATATCATATTAATTAGTTATTTATATAATTGTAAAAATTTAAAATATATATTTGTTTTTAAAATAACAAATTTTCTTTTTTATAATACAAGTATATAAATTAATTATTTACAATTCAACAAAATTAATCAATATATAAATATGTAGTTAAATTATTTTCATGACTCTTCTTAGAATTTACGTTAAAGTAGTGTTAAGCAATAGATTTTAAATTGTTGGTTCATGCATACTCCATAATATTTTATAGACAACGAAGTTGAATAATTTATTTTATTACGTAGAAGGGTTTGAAAATGATACGAGTACTAATTTATTTTATCTCTTGTTAAACCTAAAACACCAAGAGAGGTAATTATTTATTTTTGTTACAAAAAATAGTAAAATAGAGGACATGAGGTGGTCGATCTCTCTCATGTTCTTTGATTGAATACCGAAAATGACAGAGCGAACTAGACTTTCAAAGAAAGATAAGCATCTTTCTTCTTCGTTTCTTGTTTGGTACTCGAAGAAGTCACCGAGAAATGTGCAGAGCTATTCGGTGATCGGCACTGGAAGCCTCAATTGCGAAGCGAAGGAAGTGATTGGTTGTTAAAGCATGAGGTGGAGTAGATAGCACAAGGATCATCGAGGAGGAACCATCAAGATGTATGCACGAGCGGTTCTTTCTTTCGTTTTTGTGTTTCTACTCCTATTCTCTTACTCAATTTTCATAGGGACTTTGGACATTCGATCTTACTTCAACCCTCTGTCGAAGTTGCCGGTTGTTTCACCCGGTCCATGTGCACCTGAACCGCCTCTCCGGGTTTACATGTATGATCTTCCCCGTCGATTCAATGTTGGCATGCTCAATCGCCGGAGCACGGAGGAAGCTCCGGTTACCGCCCGGGATTGGCCGCCATGGCCCAGGAATTCTGGGTTGAAAAGGCAACACAGCGTTGAGTACTGGATGATGGGCTCGCTTCTTTATGAAGGAGGAGGAGACTATAGAGAGGCGGTAAGGGTTTCGGATCCGGAAATGGCAGATGTGTTCTTCGTGCCTTTTTTCTCCTCATTGAGTTTCAATACGCATGGCCATAATATGACGGATCCGGCTACTGAGATTGATCACCAATTACAGGTACTACTTCGTTCCAACTTCGGCGACATGTTGCTTTCCTTGTTTCTGGAAGTCTTGTTATTTCTTTCAGTTAGTTCACAATAATATGTTTTTGGTATATAATGCTTGCTTACTAACTCATTGAATATGTTGTGTCCGCGAAGTGTGCATTCAGTGCCGTGGATAATTTTTGTTTTGTAATTGTATGTGGGTGATCGAGATTCTTCCAATTGTTCTGATAGGCTAGCTAATCACTTTTATCAAGTTGTTAATTATTTCTCAGCTAGTCAAATGCTAAGAGATTTTCGGCTATTAACTCTCAAGTGATTATGCCTGAGTTTATACTTTGAAACACAGGGTACTGGCAATTCGTTTGATAAATACTTCATCTTCTATTTGTCAAGTGATCTGAGTATGTGATTCTGATCTATAGATCCTTGAATGTTCTATCGATGGGAATCCACATTATTAGGAATAATGATCCAGATTATATATGACTTCTCGGTCCCCTCTCTCCCGACCTCCTGAGCCCAATGTGCATTTTTCTTTATGAATAATTCTGCGGTTGAAGTTAATAAGGGCTTGTTTCTGGTGTCAGATTGATTTAATTGACTATTTGTGGCAATCCAAGTACTGGAAAAGGTCTGGAGGTCGAGACCATGTTATTCCAATGACACACCCCAATGCATTCAGGTTCCTGCGTGATCATGTGAATGAATCTATTCAGGTTGTTGTAGATTTTGGCCGCTACCCCAAAAATGTGTCTAATTTGAGGAAAGATGTGGTTTCCCCATACGTGCATGTGGTGGATTCATTTGAGGACGATGAATCTCCAGATCCATATGAGTCTCGTACAACACTGCTTTTCTTCCGTGGGAGGTTATTCAGGAAGGATGTATGTCTGGCCTAAAACCTCATTGATAGAATAACAATCTCTCTTGAAATTCCTTGAAAAACTGATTTTGTGGGCTCTCTGATACTGCAGGAAGGCATTGTGCGCGTTAAGCTAGCAAAGATATTATCTGGCTATGATGATGTTCATTACGAGAGAAGTGTTGCTACTGGTGAAAACATTAAAGCGGTAAGCAGTTTAGTTATGCAGCATTGTTACTGAACAACACTCTTCACACTCGCTTGTCTCAACAACAACTCCCCTCCCCCCAAAAAGTAAAAGTATATAGAAGAAAAAGTTAAAGAACTCTTTAGACATTAGATCTCTTAAGTATTGTGAAATCAATGTTTTGGGCAACTGATCCGATTGTCTGTGGAGAGTTTCTTTTTTTTCTTTTTTTTTTTTGGGGGGGGGGGGTTGAGAAATTTGGATGCATGAGGTGCATTACTCTTTGTAATTGGTATATCTCTGAAACGATTCTTTTGTCATTGTTTTTTTATCTTTTTTCCTCATCTTCAGTGGGGAATGGTGTGGGTAAGCCAACCATTTCATATAGTTAAAAATTTACCAAGATGCTACCTTCTCATCTTTGTCACTCAAGGAAGAGGAACAGTGGAAAAAAACCAGATATTCTGGATTACTCAATAGGCTCCTATCAATCACATTGTTTCTCTCTGCATAATATCTCCAAAATGCTCACTGAGACTACTTCATTGTTGAGATATAATTTTCTTTTGACAAACATGTAATGTTTCCAAAGGTAATCATGCAGAACACAAAACTTACTACTGAGCAAATCTCCGATTAATGAAAGAGTAGCAAGTCTAGACATATAGATTTAAATTTTTCCTCTAGCGCTAAAAACAGTCCTGAGCAAATCTCCGATTGATGAAAGAGTAGCAAGTCTAGACATATAGATTTACATTTTTCCACTAGCGCTAAAAACAGTCATGTTATCCCAGTAGTGCATGCTACATTTTCATTTTTCAGCCAAAAAAAAAACTCCATTTTGAGGATGTAGATCTCAAAACTTTCTTGGTAATCTGACCAGATAGATTACAATATCTATTTTTTCCCCTTTTGCATCTTGTTCTCTTTCTAATTGTTCTTTATCATATGAAGATCATTGACCATAGTGCTCCTTTATGCTCTGCCTCTATTACAACAGTCATCTAAGGGGATGCGTTCTTCAAAGTTCTGTCTGAACCCAGCTGGAGATACACCTTCATCTTGTCGTCTATTTGATGCCATTGTGAGCCACTGTGTTCCTGTCATTGTGAGTGATCAAATTGAGCTCCCATTTGAGGATGAGATTGACTACACTCAATTCTCGTTGTTTTTCTCTTTCGAAGAGGCATTAGAGCCAGGCTACATGATTGATAAGCTTCGTAAATTTCCAAAGGAAAAATGGGTAGAAATGTGGAGGAAGTTGAAAAACGTATCCCATCATTATGAATTCCAGTATCCGCCCAAAAGGGAAGATGCTGTGAATATGTTGTGGAGACAGGTGAAGCACAAACTTCCCAAAGTCCAACTCTCTGTTCATAGAAGCCGGAGGTTAAAGATACCAGATTGGTGGAAGCGGAGATGATCTTTGGAGCCGGCTTTGTTGACTGTATACATTCGCATCCAAGTTAGGGACAACCCTTGGCAGGGAAGATACCATTAATACGACCCGTGTGAACTCAATTTTTTATAATGAAGATTTTGATGCCATTTTTAATCTGTGATCTATTTTGGTAATTGATCTTTGATGGGTGTGACGCATTTGCCTCGCTGAAAAGCCTAATACTCGTCAGCGTTCATCATGCCAATTTTGCAGACGTTGCTCCTCCTTCATCTTCTTTTTGAGTGTCTTAGCTGAAGGTGGACTCTGTAGTTTTTACTTTTTACAAGTGAGAGTATGCTCAATTGAATTTGAAGCTTTAACCAAATTGCAGGGCTTTCAAGTATGGGATTTCCGGCCGCAGAATGAAGCTGGCCTCTGGCTTTTTAAGTCCGAAGGTTTAAGGAAGACGCATTTCTATTGCTGAGGCTGAACGATTGAGATTTTCTATAGAATAGCAGTGACAATGGTATATCTGATTGAAGATGATTTTTTTTTCAACAGTTCGCAAGTCTATTTGTATTTGTATTTTTAAAATAGTAGAATTCTAATAAATCTAATGTACTAAAAGCTCAAGTAGAAATCGTAAAACCTTTCAAGAGTTGAATTTGGAAAGACCAATCGCGAAAAATCTCCATGAATCTGTGTGCAAGATTCAGTGGAATTTGAATTAGGAGGGGGAAAAAGGCTTATCCTTAAAAGGGGTTAGGTGGTGACTCAGCCGTGTGCAAGATCATCAAAACGCTGTGCTTTGGGGCAAGGGCCAAGGGCCAAGGAAGAAACTACATGCAAGAAACCTACAATTACAGTCGCGTCATGTAGAATGAGCACTATTTCACCATGAAAGGATCTGGTGGGCCAAAATCCCCACCAACATATTTTGTACGGTTCCCTTTGTTTTGTGTTTGAAAAGAAGGGCTTTTTTGTTTCCACCGATGTTGTGGATTGAGAAGACTGGCATATTCTACGAAGAGAAGTTACGTTGATAAGACAGAGAAATGAATCGAATAAAATGAAAATGATAGCTAACACCAGTATAAATGTCATCATAATCAGGTGTGTGGGGAAATTGGAAGAGGCCCAAAAGTCATGGAGGAAGAAGAAGCTGTGAGAGCAAGGAGTTTCAGGGAGGAGGACTACAAGAATAGAAGAGTGTTCTTAAGAAGCTACCCACTACATTGGAGGGAAGATGCTGAAGAAGAAGAACAAAAGTTGATAGCAGAGAATGGATGCAATGGAAAGAGGTTCATTAAAAAGATTATTTTACACATTATTAGAAAGACCCTCTGTTTTGAAGAAATTCAAGGGTAATATTTTAATTTATTTTCCTGCTTTTCCTACTTGAGAAGTTTTTACAATTGAAGGTGTAATATTTATTTAACTTTGTTCAACTTATCTTTAATTATTTTGTAAAACTTTTTACAATTGAAGATATATTACACATAATTAAAGAGTTTTGCCTCTTCAATATAAGTTGTATTTGTTAGAATTTAGGTCTTTTTAGCTAATACTTCTTTCATTTTAGACATAAGATTTATTTTATAGTGTAAAAATTAGCTTTACATTTAGGACATAAGGGTACAGTTTTTAAAGAAGTACTTTTAACCAATTTTTTCACCCTCCTATTGCCATCTTTCTCCCCTTTATCCCACTCTTTTTGGTGTTCACCCCTTCTCTTCAATAAAAAAATATATGGGGAATTGATCTTTCGTTATATAGACGCGCGCACGCGCGAATCTAAATGATAGTCGGGGTACTTTACTTTTTCAGCCGAGTAGAGTGCTAAATGGCGTCTGAATTCATGTATACTTTGGATGAAATCCCCCCATTTGTTAGGACTCCTTTACCAAATGATTTGATCAGGGCATGTATTTGGCTGCAGTTAGGGTTTTTTGGATTCACAGTTAAAAAAAAAAACTTATTTTCAACCTGATATTTAGAAAAGTGAGATTAAATAAAAATTATATTAGATAATGTGATTTATGTTTGGATTGACTTTTATAAAAATTAATTTATAAAGTAGAAAAATTATTTAAATTATGATTGAATAAGTAAGTTTAATTTGTAGAATGACTAAAATAAGTATGAATTTTATTAAGTAATAAAAATGATTAAAAATATGAATTTATAAAATATAATAATTTGAAATTATTATAATAGGAAGAAGTTATATTTAATGAATAAAATATATTTAAATTAGAAATTATAGTGATGTGAAATTTTTTGAACCAAATAATATTACATAATTAACTGGATAATATATTCTGCATAATTTATGTAAATACAACATGAAAAATAATATTAAAAATTAAAAATATTATAAAAACTATTAAAAATTATTTTTGCTTAAGAGAATATTCAAAATAAATAATTAAATATATAGAGGGAAGCATAAGAATAGCATAAACATAAAGGTAAAAATGTATGTTAATTTTAAAAACGGTTTTGCCTAAGTCATAAATAAGTTTTAAGTACTTTTCCAATCATAGTTTAAAAAGTAACTTTTGATCTTTAAGTCGGATTAACCAAAAACTACTATAAATAACCCCCAAATTTGTAACCTAACTTATAACACTTATAAGTTACTTTTTGCATGCTAAAACGCCTTACCAAGCAGGCATTTCATTAACTATAGCCATTTTTGTTTGGGAAATATTATTTTCTTTCATAATGAATTAATGATCATAAAATGAAATTTACAAAATAATAAAATATGGTCATAATATATTTTCATTTTTGAAATAATATTTTAGTCTGTTTGCCCTCAAAATATTCTTTCACTAGTTTGAACATATTCTCTTTTTTTTTAATATATTGAAAGAGACGCAATATTAATAAATTTTAATATTTCATTAATTTAATAAATATTTAAAAATGTTATTTTATATAATATTAATATTTATGAAGAATGAAATTTGGTTACTTTGCATAAGAATTAATAGCTTTCTAATCCCTATTTGAAAAAAAAACAGAATTATTAGTACTGAGTCTGTTTGGATTAGCGATTGGATAAGTAGCTTATTGTCAATTTTATTTTTAAACAAGTGAAGTTGGATAAAAATTAAGTTGCATAAGTTGAATGTGTCTAGATTAAAGTTTAGAGAAGTTAGTTTATAAAAGTGAGATTGATAAAAGATTGTTTGGATTATGATTGAGTAAAAGTAAGTTTGGTTGTAAAATGACTAAAATAAGTATGATTTTTAATAAATAATGAAATATGATTAAAAAAATGAATTCACATTAAAAAAATTAAAATAATTTAATATGAAGAAGTCAAATTTAACGAGTGAATTAAATTTTAAAACTTTAGAAAAATCATAAAAAATTTTGAACTAAATAATATTATGTAATTAATTATGTAATTAATTTTCAAGCCCAACATCCAAGCCCTCATTTTGGGTTCACAGATGAGAGAGGCCCAAAACTGGCGAGTGGATCATGGACCATCATTATGGTTTGCCTCAGATTGAATTTTTTTTTGGGCCAGCATTGAATATAAGGTCCATCGCTTAAAGCCATAAACTGTATATGGCTCTCCAAAAATACATAGAGGCAAATAAATAAAAGACAAGTATAAAACTATCACACACTACCAATTAACTCCCTACATATATCTAGGAGTGAGCAAAACCGAACCGGAACCGAAAACCAAACCAAACCGAACTCAATTTGGTTATTTCGGTTATCAGTGTTTGGTACGGTGTCCTAAAAAATACTCCTCCGGTCCTTAATATAGGATCCAATTCTTGAGTTGATTTTGGTCCTAAATATAAGACCCAATTCTCATATTTATCAATTTTCTCTAAATTACCCCTATAGATACTCTCTCGCCCATAATCAAGTAGAAGAGGGAGATGGGGTATTAAGAAAGATGATTATGGTAATTTGAGAAAAATGTGTCACTTTTCTTATAATTAACTAATTTACCTAACTTCCGTAATCTAATCAAATTAGTTAAATGGGTCTTATATTAAGGACCAGAGGAGTAATTCGATTAATACCGAAATAACCAAATTTGAATAAACTTTAAAAAAAAAAATATTTCTCTCCCAGTAGCCCCAGTCCCCATGGCCCACCTACTCTTTTTATTTTCTTTTGACTCCATCTGTCCAGTGATCCAGTCCACCAGCCCAGAGTTCGACTCCACCTCAGTTCACACCTTCACGGGTTGACCTTCACACTCAGTCAATACTCACTCGCTCCCTCTCTCCCATACTCTCATAGACTCCCATCTCCTCTCCAGTCTCCACACTCTAAGTCTCACAGTCACAGGTCAGCGTAGGGCGACTACGCAGCTTAAATATGAAGTTCTCAACAACTCCCTTCATCCTTGATCCCTTGAAAGTTCTGATCTACACCCCTTAGCTTAGCTATTGTCGTCACCGTCGCAAGGTTTAGAGTCTGAACTTAAGACTTCAAACTCCCTTCATTGATTGATCATCACAGATTGCCACTAGTCTTCATATAGTAGGAGCATTACAATCGCGACCTCGGATCCCTCTCCCTTCGGCCTTCTTCTTCCTCTGATCCCTCTTCCTTCGACCTTCTCCACGTGCAGCCAAGTAAAATATGGTATTCAAGTTGTAAAATAAGATATATTTGATTTTAGAATTTAAAACTTTTATTACACCTTTCAAATATCCAAATTCTTTGTATAAAAAAGGTCCAAAAAATCATTATTTCCCATTATTTAGACTTATTGTGCGTACAGGGCTAGAATAGTACCTAAAAAAAAGGCCCAATAACCGAACTGAATATATTTCAGTTATTTCGGTTCGGTTCGGTTTGCATTGTGATCATTTTGGTTATTCAGTTATTTCAGTTATTGACACTAACCGAACCGATTAGCCGTTTACTCAGCCCTGCATATATCAATATTTAATTAGAGAAAGCAATCCAAAAACAAACTTGTTTATTTTTTTAGTAAATCCCGTCTATTAATTGATCTCATAGAAAATTAATTATATTGACGTCAATTGTTTGCATAGTATGTTATTTACATTGATATAGCTTTTTGTTCCCCTCAATTCTATTAAACGAAATGTTATTTTTCATCCAAATTAAAAATCTCAACAAATTCCTCCAAAATAGGCCACCCTAATAGCCCACTTCCCAAGTAGGTCCCTTTTTACATTCCAAGTGGGCGCACGCCTATAAGCTTTCAATTCCCCCCCTCCCATCATTTTCACGCAAGTCACAAGAAACTAGGGTTCGAGTCCTTATTGTATCATAAGAAATACTCACATTTAATACTCAACAATATCTCATGCAAACTTGTCTTTTATAGGAAAATACTTATACTTAGTAAAATAAAAATTACTTGTTGGC